GAAGGTATATGCGACCGTGGTATTGGCCAATATTTTTTGCAGCATGGAACTCGTGTGTACCACCATTTTCTTAAATATTTAGCACAAAAAACAAATGGCCAGGACGAAAAAAAAAATCCAGACAAAGATCAAAAACAATGGAAAAACTGTAAAATATGGATAGAAAACGTGTCAAAATTACCATTCGTAGGGAAAAATGTTATGTTAATAGGAGAACAATATATCAATGCTTACTACTATATGAAGGATTGCGATACTATGATACGCGATTATAATGCCTTTTATGATTTTTTCATGGACAAATATAAAGACATTAATCCAGATACTAAATATAATAATTTACGTCAGAGTTGTGATATGTTCCTGAGACTAAATTCGCAATATAGATTCATGGATAAACTTTCAAATTAAATACATATTGGTGTTGACATTTTAAATTTCTGTCAACCCGAAACCGCGATATCCCATTTTAATGTATAGGTGGTGGGAAAGTAATGCAGCACTCATCGTTTATATCATGGACTTTCGGGACGAGGTGTTTGAATTATATTCCACTGAACTCACTTTGCCCAAACGTATAAGTGCAGTATGATATCTTACTTAAGATTTTTGCGGAAATTAAAAAATGTCGACGCCAAGTATATATATGCACCAAATATTATATTTTATTACAAGAATAATAATTAATAATTAAAAATATAATTAATTTTATCTGTTAATTTTCTTTACACGTATGACTGCTATATACAACATTTAAAACTGCATGTTAATTTTATTATTGTCTGTAGTTTAATTTAGTGTGTATTAAATATACTGGGATTTGTTCCATTATTCATTTTAACGAAAATAAAAATAAAATATTATAAACATGACTTACGCATTTTTATTGCTTTATATTTGTCTTTTGGTTCAGTTTTATTTTCTGTTTTATATAGTTAATGATCGGATTTAATTGATATTGCAACTTTTTTTGCAATAATTATAAATCAGATCTGATTAATTATGTAGCCGAAATAAAATAAAGTTATTCCGTTTTTATATTGATAGTTTTAATTAGTTATAAATACGAAAAACCAT